TCCTGTTATTTTTTTAACCAAAAGCTGTAGTTCAATAGAGATTAGTCCTCTAAAAACTAGGAGCCTGTTTCCCCCCCTCAGGCAGTCAGCAGCACAGCAGCTGGAGCTTTCAAACCCCTCCAGACTGCAGCTGATTTCTTCCCCAGGCTGCAGCCCAGAGATCCATTCAGCTCTGGGAATTTATCCCTTCCAAGTCACCAACAAGCTCCTGCAAGACCTCGATGCAAAGAAACCCCACTGGCACAAACTCCAGGGAAAGCCATGATGCTGGGATCACCTCACCAGCCAGCAGGCAGGAGGGAGGGGGACAGGGTCCTGCTCACAGGCCCAGCACAGCTCTGAGCCACTCCAGCCCCTTCCCTCCTCCCCCAGGTCTCCAGGAGGCACAGCCTGGTGCTCTCACTCTGCTCCACACACACACAAGTGCCCTCTTAACACTGCAAACTCATTGTCTTCTCCTCAGAACACACTCTGCAGATTACTGTTCCCTCTAACACACTGCAGGTACATTTTGCCTTTCCCCCTTCCTGAAGCTGGTTTTGATGAGCTAACATTGCTGGTTTCAATCATGCAGCCTCCTCCTTAACACCCCATCTACCAGCCACTCCCAGAGTACCTCAAAGTTCTTCACACCCACCTAAGGCTTCAGCTTAAACTCCAAACCACTGCAGGTTCTGCACCCTCAGGAGGCCATCACGTGCCCAACAACTCTTCCCTCAGGCTTCTGCACACCAGCAGCACATCCACACCTTTACCTGAGGAGACCCTTTGATCATTTCCCCTTTTTTAGCCCAAACAGAGACACGTTCCTCAGTGCAGGAGCAAAGCCACGTTGAGTTCCCTCAAACAGCAGAGTGTGAAGGGCACCTGCAGAGCACAGGCACCTCTGCTGGAGTTAACTGGCTTGAGGTCCTTTCATAGGCAATGAGGAAAACAGGCACTTGTACAGCAGGGTTCATTTGTCCTGCTCCAAATTCTCCCTGAGGAAGTGTGCTGGAAGGGCTTCTCCTGACTGCACTGAGGTCCACACTGGGACATCTGAGGTGGACATCTCCAGTGGGAAGGGAACAGCACTTCTGTTTGCAGCACTGCCCCACGAGCAATCACCCACTTGTTGTACCTCCAACCCCAGCAGGGTCAGCAGCCAGAACACCCAGGGCAGGGCAGTGACATGGCCAACTCAAAAGAGATGTGGAGAAACAGGGACACCAGTGTGTGTGTCAGAACCAACATAAAACTCATCTGACCAGCCTGTATCTGAGACCTCCCTCCACCCTCCAGCCACTGCTCCAACACCAGGACAGGGGAACTGCAGTCTGAGCAAAGCTTCTCCTGCCCTGTCCTCCCCAGCCAGCTTCATGCTGCCCACAGCCCACCCCTGGCTTCACATCCTGCACTGCTGAGCACAGTTAGAGAGGGACAGAGCCACCCCAGGGCTGCCCTGGCACAGACATGCTGCAGAGTGCCTGAGGGGAAAGGGCCTCCAGGA